AATCCCTTTTTTTTTAAGTTGCCTTTTAAAAATGTAATTAAAAAGGCTTTTAAAATATATAATAAATATTAACTTAATACTAAGTATTATTATACTAAAGTCCAGGAAATAAATAAAGCTATTTAAAAAATTATTATTATTTTTATTTAATAACTTATTAAAAATAAACTTATTATAAAGGTTYTAGCTAAATTAAAGTAATAATTTACTTTAATTAATTTTAAAACTAAATTAAAGGTATTTAATAACTATTTTATAGTCTTAAATACTTTAATTTAATAAAATAAGATTAATAATTAACTTTAAAACTATAAAAAAACTTACTAAAAAATTAAACACCTTAATTAACCTAAATTAAAAAATAAAATAGCTAATATAACCTTTTTATAAATAATTAGCAAGTATTTAAACTTTTATATAAAATAAAATACTAATTAATTAAATTAAAAAGGTATTAATTTAATTTCTTACCTTTAGTTTATATTTAAATATTAATAATATTTTTTTATAATTAATAACTTTTTTAAAAACTTTGCTAAAGCAGTAGCCTTTATAACTTTTAATAAAAAATTAAATATTTTTTTTTAAAATAGTACTAATTAATAATAAGCCTTTTTATTTATATAATTATTTTTAAGTAATAAAATAATATTAATACTTTATATAATTACGTAAAAAGCTATAGTATAAACCTAAAAAAAATATAAATAAAAAGGTTAGTAAAACTTTTAATAAAAATAATAAATATAGTAAGAAACTTTAAAAGGTAAGGGCTAAAAATAAATAAATTTTTAAAAATAAAAAAAAGTTAAAAAAAAAGCTTAAAAAGCTTTTTTAGCTACTTAGGCCATAATAAAAAAAAATATTATAATTATATACTTATTATAAGTATTTAAAGTAATTTAATACTTTAAAATACCTTTATTTTTAATACTARTGCCTTTATTTATATTTATAATAATTTTAATTATTTTACCTTTTTTTAATTAATTAAAAAAAGGTAATATTTAAGCAGGAAATATAATTATTATTATTTAAAATATAAAATTAGTATTTTTTTATTCCAAGGCTTTAAATAATAAAATAATATTTTTTATTTTTAGTAAAGTGGCCTTTATACCTAATTTTTATATTAATATTTTAATAGCTAGGCCTTTTAAAAAGGCTAAATATTTTTAAAATTTTAATACTTTAATTACTAAAAATAATAAACTAGTATTTTATCTTAAAGATTACTTATTTAGCCTTTAAATAATTAAGTTTAAAAARAACTTAAAGTAAAAAAAGGCTAATACTTTAACTTAATAAAAAATTAAAA